AAAAAGTTGAACATGGGCAACTGAAAGGAACTCAACTCAACTCAACTCAACTTGACTCATGTCGACAAATATGCGCGACTGTCAGTTCCTTTCAGTTGCGGTCAGTTCCGTTCAGTTGCGTTCAGTTCTGGTCAGTTCCTTTCAGTTGCGCGGAGCGCTCATGTCGACGAGTTGAGTTGAGTTGAGTTGAGTTGAGTTGAGTTCCGTGTCGACCTGAGCCTGCCTTAAGGCTTCTGTATAATGCTAGTGTATGGGCCAGGCAGCCAAATACCACATTTTCACCTGGTATTGAATAGGCCTATAATAGAATAGACCTATTCACTACTTCCGTGACAAAGAAGGTCTTTTCTACATTATAATGTTTATAACTTATTATTGTACCGTAATTGATATTACACATATGTATTCACAGAGGTCTGATTGTATAACATATCCATGCTAATTTCTTGAAGAAAGCAAATTTAAGACACACTAATCGAAAACGAATTTTATTAAATTAAAATCGATTTACATCGGTTCTGCTGTTCTCACGTTTAAAAAAATCCGTTGAATTGAAAGTTTTTCTTTAACACATCTGGACAGGGAAACCCTCCCCGGCCTACTCAAGCCTTTTCGCCACCACCCAAACAGGAGTACGCACCACCACCCCTACAAGGGTATGTACCACCACCGCAAGAATATACGCAACAGCAAGGATACCAAGTGACTCAAGGCTGTGCTCCACCGGCCCAACCCCGACAAGCGTTTGCTGCCCCTCCGGCTGTCATCTTTATAAACGCCCAGCAAATTTCTGCCCCTGCTCAACCAGCCGTTCACACTACCATTGTTCGTGAACGACCAAGGTAAGCTACTACAGTGTATGCTCTGTTAACAGAATCTTTGTGTCCAAACTAGGAACCAGAAAATTAATAAATAGGCTTTAAAATACTTTTTTTGGTAGAATCATCGGACTATAATTATAGCAAAATAAAAGCTCTAAATGCAAAAAGGTTTTATGTAGAAATAGCTAATTTCATTACGTTTTTCATAACAGTTATCAATGAGAGAGAGAAAGAGAAAGGGAAAAAAAGTAAAAATTAAAAATAAATAAAAAAATACGCTTAAATAGTTATCAAAAAATTATTAAACAAAAAAAATTAAGGAAATCAGGATGCTCAGCTGCAGCAATTGTGACCAACACACATGTGCGACTATACTCAAAAGAGGTTCTGCACAGTAAAGGAAGAAGATGATGATTATGATTACAGTCAACCTGGGGCTTGTATCTTCGTAAATTATTATTTTTTGCAATTAAATATTCTTGTCAGATTTTGATATTTTGATATGTGCAAAGAAATGTAACGTATTTTGGTGTCATAATATTATAATAATGATAAAAATAATAATAAATTAATGTAAAATGGCAAAATATGTTTCTTTGGAGTGGGGTGGAAACAGCAGGGGTAAGAGTCCCCCGTTGGGGAGAGCTGGGCCCCCGTCGGGGAGAAAAATCACAATTAGTCGGGGAGAAAAAAATGATGTATATGTATTTTCTACATATCAGTAGACTCCCAAATCGATTAAATAGCCATCGACATGTTTCGCCCCTTTTGCGCTTTGCGTAAGGTTCAGTGGACATAATATTTTATTCAGCGCACCCCCTATTAAACATCCTAGATACGCCACTCATTTTGCATTATTTAGATGACAATATTAGTGGCAATTGGTGACGTAGGAGGTAGGATGGCATCAATTTCCCAAAATATCTTCGTTTTAGAAACCTTTGATCCGACGAAAGAAAATCTATACATTTTAAGATGGCTTCAATCGCTTGCTTTCAGGCAACGGGTTAATCATCCTGTACACTTCGTAATCACGCTGCTTTTCTGGCCCTGGATTGTCGTATGGATCATTATTGTGAGTACAAAACAGCAATTCTCCCACGAGACATAATTGACAATTTCCATATATACCAACTAGAAAGGAGCTCTCCGTCCGTTTGTACACGCACATTGAATGACGCGACCGTGACGTTGTAATGAGAAGTCAGTTACCCGCTTTGAAATCAAGTTATGATGATGAGACCTGGCTGTAACACGGTTTGGTGACGTGTCACACTGAATATATGCTTATTATTAAATAAATTGCTGCAAATTAACCACTTTATCAAAAACTTGTGTGTTTAACTACGCAAGCGCAACGAAGTGTGAAAGATCGGTTTAGGGAACTTTTTTCCACACTCAGATACCTCTTTAATAATAGTACATGAAAAATACATCTTAGGGTTGAAAAAATTGCAACAGAATTTCTGTTTGCACAGTGCATTTTCTTAAGGTCCCTGTATGAACATATTAAAAGTCTAGAAAAATCTACACAGGGGAAGTGGGTTTTTTTTTTCAAAATGGCCGCCAAAATGGCTAATTTTAACCAAAAATTGGAAAAAACTTGATCTTTTCAACATATTTCAGCATATTTTTTTTTCTAAAATATATTTACAAATCCTAACGTTGTTCTGATGCATACAAATACACTTATTTAATTTCAAGATGGCTGCCACAAATACGACGACATATTTAGTATATAGTATTTAGTATATAGTGGTGTATGCATAATACGCCAATCAGCTATGGACGTTTTGGACAAAAACACCAACTTTTTACATGTTCCCTATGGTCATAGAAATCAATTTTTGATAGAAACCATTTTATCGGAGGTCATTATGGCAGCCATCTTAGATTTCAAAATGGCCACCTTATAAAACCTTATTATCCACGGTAGTATTTCCTCTTCTAACTTGGAATTATAATTATATTGTATAAATGGCTAAGGAATACTAGCATGCCATTTTTGACCTGGTAAGATTCTTCATTTAAGGTAATTATAACTTAAGGTCATTAACTAAATAATCTGACCAGATTCTTCATTTAAGGTAATTAATTTAAGGTCATTCAAGGTCATTCCAGGTCATTCCAGGTCAAATATTGTATGGCATCTTAATAATTACCTAACTGCCATGTTTTACATCTGAATCATACTGAAGCTCTTGAAATTCATTTTCAAGAGCATACAGTACAGGTACTAATTCAGGGTAATTTTGGCAGCCATCTTTAATTTCAAAATGGCTGCCGTGCAAAAACTATATTTATTAATATCTTAGATTTTTTAAATCACTTCAAATTAGAATTCTGATATTTAACACTATATTTTTATGGTCAAGAAAATATACATATGACCATCTATATATAAATATATAGATAGTCATTAGGATAATATGAAATATAGGTCAGTTAAAGTCATTCAAGGTCATTTTATGTTAAATAACATATGATATCTTAACTATTTCATCAGACGTCGTTATGACGTCCATTTTAGGTGAAGGTGATTTTGCAGCCAAATTAAAGATGACCACCATAGAAACATAGATTCTGCCAATATTCTTACAATGTCATATAATAAGGCTGTCTCTTATACACATCTAGATGTGTATAAGAGACAGTATATATAGATGAATTTCAATATTTTCTGACCATCATCATCATAAAAATTAATTAGACTAATTTTGTAATATCAATTGGATATAAACATTTAACCATGGTGGGGCTGAGGTTAGACATTCTATCTGAATCCAACGTCACCATTTTGATATAGCACTAATATTGCACGTGAGTTATACCGCTAGAGATCTATAAGATATGTTCTCTTCTTTGCATTATTTTCAGCTTGCTGGATCTCGAATGATATATCAACATGTAAAATCAATGTACCGCTCAGTAACTTAAAATAGCTAGGCCTAATGAGTGTAGTATTACAGTATAGCGAATAGGTAAACGGTACCGTAACTTTCTATTGCATAACATTATAAACAGCGTTCCGCAAACTTTTTACTTCACGGCCTAATTACGATTCCATGCACCAAGCCGCGGCCCAGCAGCCCAGCCGCGCGAGGGGCCAACATACCAAATCCTGGCAAGAACTTTTGATCATAAAGCCTCCATGCATATACAATATTTTGACATCATTATTTGTTCTCTTAATGATAAAATTTTATTGTATACAAATTAAATATTATTTTATTAAATAAATATTACCGTAGGCCCTACATTATGGTCAGGTTGCGAGCGAAGCGCGTGCACTGATAATTGGGGCTAGGGGGCCGCCAAGGGCATAAGGTCGGGTTTCGGTGCCATTAAACTGTAATATTATTGTAAACTATTAAAATGTAATAGTATTAACATTAAGCCATTAAACTGTAATATTATTAACTAACACCAATAAACACACATAACATAAAACATGTACATATCGAAATTATTATATTTAATCTTTCCATAAAACGTGATTTGGATCTAACATGTGATATTGATAAACAATCGAAATTCTCTGTACAATATTATGCTAAACATTTACAGAGTGGACTTCCTTATGTTGTGGTCATATTAGACTGTAATATTATTATTATTAAGGAAGTCTATTCAACAAACAACATAAAACATATAGGCCTAGTACATATCAAAGTTATTAGGTTAAAGTTCTCATGTCGGTGCATACATAAAACGTAATATCTGAGATTGACATATAACATTCTCTATACTATAGGCCTATATACTAATTTAACGAGTGGACTTCTAGAAAATATATACGCAAAGTATAGTAGGTTAGAAGTTAATGGAGAGGACTTCCCTATGTTGTGGTCATATTAGACTGTAATAATAATGCTGTGAGGTGCCTAAATATGTGGGGTGCAGCGCTTCGTATCTGCATCAGGATTCTAATTTGAAATGTTTTACAAGCTGAGATATTAGAAAAAAATATACCGGTAGGTTATGCATGGCAGCCATCTTGAAATCCAAGATGGCCGCCAAAATGACCTTGAATAAAATACTGTAGTTCCTATCAAAAAACTTAATTCCAAGAGGTTGAGTATGTTTCTGATGTAGGCCTAAAACACGACACTTAGGCCTCCGTTATTAAGATACCATACAATATTTTACATGTAATGAACTTGAATGACCTAAAATGACCCTAAATGACCTATTTATGACAATCTGACGGAGTAAAAAATTGTATGATTGTATTTCCTGACCATGAAAACATATTTTTGGACATTAGAATTATAATTTCAACTGGTTTAGAAGCGGAGATATAGATAAATATATTTTTTACATGGTGGCCATTTAAAATCCAAGATGGCGGCCACTTTTATAAAATATTAGCATTATTTTATAAAGTAATACATGCATTGGTTGCTAAGTATTAAAAACCTTCGTGGCGATCTAAGAAGTTGCAAATTTATTCATAAATATGACATATTACGATGACATTACGATTTTTTCTCATATTTTTATCTATTTGTCGGCTATTGCATAAACGCATTTCCGCATATTTCCCCTTCCTGGACTTTTCTAGACTTTTAATATGTTCAAATAGGGACCTTATAGAAATGCACTGTAGTAAAATAAATTCTGTTTCAAGTTTTTCAACCTTCGACTAAATTTTACGCTAATTTTCTTGTACTATAAGGTTGATAAAAATTATAACTATAGCATTACAAAAAGGCGGTTTAGAATGCTTCTCTTTATTTTACCATGACTAATTATAAAAGTATTTTTCGGAAATTCTGTCTTGCCGTCCAAAATGTATAATATTGATCTCTCTTATGACGTGTTGCATAAATGCTGCTTAACTACTGTAGGCCCTGCGCATGTAGAAAGCACAGTTGCTTTAAACGGAATTTGAATTCCCAAAGAAGCCCAAGTAGTCTCGTTGGTTAAGAGGCTCCTGCATAGGCCACTCTTTGTTTTACACTAGCAGATTTCACCTCTTTAAATTTGAATATGCAAGTATATACTTAAAGACGGTTTAGAAGTTGCATACGTATATACATATATAGGCCTATATATAAAGTTTTAATTATGTTATGCCTACTTATATATAATATATATATATATATATATATATAAAACGATTGCAAAATCTATCTTTACAGTGCATAGTCGACTGAACGTAGACCAATCCTACAGAGAATTATTTGCAGCATTGCATCCATCAATTGATCGATCCGTATCCTGTGTGAAATATGTGCCAAGCCATATGATTGTTATGTGTGTTAAAGATTAAATCGATAACTGGAAAAAGGAATTTTTTTATGGCTGTGCAATTTCAAATTTCACTGATTATAATTCAATGTTTGTGCCCTTGACTATAATACCTATTCGGAGAATAATTGCGCGTTAGGCCTACTCAGGACTATAGTATCTTTTCTAGTTTCCTGTGTGATACATTTCTTTTTAAAAGCTATTAAAGACAAATATTACTATTGTAGATCGCTATACAGTATATATTGAATTTATTGATGTATTAATCTTAGAACATAATGTAAATAGGGCCTACTAAAGTAATAAAATGAGTAGGCCTATGGTAAACAACGGCGTACTACTAGAAGCAAACACTTGATGACTACTTTGTCTTATCTCATGCTGTTAGGCTGAAGTGTTTTATAGTTATTTGACTCTACGCTTTTTCATTGTACAATGTCCTACTGTATTATTGTTAGTGCCACTGACTCACTTCTGATACTCATTTAAGTATGTAGTAAAATCTGGAAAAACACAAAAGGCCTAAATTAAGGGGGTAAAAGCCTATGCAACATATATAAGGTAGGCCTAATATAGGAACAGTAAATACATCTGGTTTGATTTATTACTACAGTAATTGAAAGCTAATAGGTAGTTTTCGCTGCACGACGTTAACCTTAACTTTAACGTTAACACCCAACATGCAGCGCGATAGCTCCGCCCCTTTTGTAAACAAATCGAAATACGCATGCGCACACCCGTAACTAACGTACGTAGAGCACGTAAAATCCTGAATTTTAACGTACTCCGCAACGCAAGATGGATAAACTATGACGTCATCCGTTAAAGTTAAGATTACCGTCGTGCGGCGAAAACTGCCTAATAACATAATCATATACAACGCTATCAAAATATTAATTTCTATCGTTTTTTTATTTATAGGCCTATATTAGGTTTTAGCTCAACACAGCTATCACCAATGCAATGGAGTTTTCACCTCTCCCCCCCCCCACCCCATAGACACATGAATAAATATAATACCACTAGGTGAGTAAGCCCTGTCATAATAACTACAGCCATCATTTTACTTGTCACTTTTGCACTTATTCAATTATAAGTCTAATCTACAAAGTATTTTGAGCAACTTCACTTGATCATTCATAGCAATCCCTCACGCTGTTTTAAATATAGATTCCAGTGTTTTAAAATGGCGTTTTCTGAACTAATGTTCCCTAACAGCTAGCCAATAACCTGTTAACCGACTTAATAACATCAAGGAAATCTATGGTCAAAGTGGAACTATAAAAGTAACGTTATAGCTCCATTTTATAACACCCAACTCCATACTGAGAAAGCTACTCTAAAGCCCCTCTCCCACCTAGGTTTATTTCACCTAAGAGTCGTACGATTTCTACGAGTTAAAACTCGTGATCTTTGGGAAGGACTTATACGAGCTTATTAATTATAAGTCTAATCTACAAAGTATTTTGAGCAACTTCACTTGATCATTCATAGCAATCTCTCACGCTGTTTTAAATATAGATTCCAGTGTTTTAAAATGGCGTTTTCTGAACTAATGTTCCCCAACAGCTAGCCAATAACCTGTTTACCGACTTTTTATGATCAAAGTAGAACTATAAAAGTGATGTTATAGCTTCATTTTATAACACACCCCTACTCCTTACTGAGAAAGCTACTCTAAGAGTATTTACGTACGAGAGAAGTGGCACCATAAATGACGTGGCAGTGAATCATTAAACATTCACTGTGTATCCTTGGGCCTATAAATATGGTTATATTATTTCTCAATACAATATGCAAGTTTTTCCGTAGACGTCATTGCAATATTATGCTCAATGTCTTAGCCAGGATTTTCCAAAAGTGCGGGACAATATCAGGGTGGGCCCACTTTACACGTAAATACAAACAATGTGGACTCATTTTATGCAAATATGAAAAATCTGGACCCATTTTCTTATTTTACCCATTAGCTAAATATGAGAAATCTGGAACCATTTTTCAAAAAGTGGACCGATTTTATGCTTCAAATTACATAATTTCCAGTGGACAGAATTTTAAAAATGTGGACCCATTCTTTGTGGATCCATTAGAAAAATGGTATGGGACTCTCCCAATAGCTGGCTACGGTATTGATTATGCTGTTACCACTGTTTGATTTTTAAGTCCAGTAAATGAAGGTGGGAGTTGGATAGACTGTTGTGGTTCTTGACCCCTCATAGTTATTAATTGTGATTGAAGAGATGGGGAAGTGTACAATAGTAGGAATGTGTAAGGGTGTGTCAGTGTGAAAGATAAGGTACTTTAATCGGATTTGAATTCCTAACAACGCCTCAATGGGTTAACTGCATAGACAGCAGAACCCGCGGGTTCAAATCCCGGTTGGGGCACATATTTTTTCACACTCGCAGATTCCTCCTCTTGAGCGTTATAAATTTATTTATATTTTCACCATTAGCGCAAGACGGTTTAGAGTTTATCTCTTTTATATCATTATATCTATATATAGCTAACAAACTTTTGTATAAATTTCTTTCTGATAATTCAAAGCCTAATGATATTGTTGATGACAATGGTAGTAAGGATATAACTAAAATGTGGGTAATAGGCCTACCATATATAGGTCGACGCGGAGAAATACTACTCCGTAGATGTATTAACAAAAACAAAATCTAACTAAAGATGTTAAATTCATTATCTTATGGAAAACTAAAAAAGTATCGTACTTCACTTCAACCGAAGATGTAACGCCTAACAAATATCGTAGCTCAATTGTGTATCATTTTAAATGCCCAGGCTGCGGTTTTGGTTATACTGGTAGGCTATCTGAACATTCTACACTCTCTAACAGTGTTATTCACAATTATATTGAGTCTTGTGATGATTTTAAATATATTTTAACACTCCATAATTTGCCTAACACATTCAAAGATGATTTCCTTGTTAATTACAAATCGCTTATATATTCCAGTACTAAAATAATTGATAGTTCACCTAACTGGTCCCATTTGCTATTTAAGGAAGCCCTTGCTATTCATTGTCTTAAACCTATATTAAACTGTGGTCTCAAAGTATTGAAAGAGCTGAAATTGTTTATCTGACAATTAAC